GCTGTAGAGGGCAAAATGTTCATCCCAGTGCCATTTGTAGACCTTGCTTTATCCTCTTGAGAGTAGATTATGTTTTGCAGTCATGGTTTCCTTCTGAATAACTATTAATAGACTCACGTCCTTTGTCCAGGGGGTTTGGCATAGCAAAATTCTACTGACTTCAGGGCAGTTATTTGTGGCTCCTGCTGAGGAAGGAGCGGCATCGGCCTGAGCGAAGCTCTTGTCAAGGCAGGGATCCAAAGAGTGCTGTGTAACCATTCCTGTGTGCAGGCAGCACCCAACGGAGCACCGAGGCAGCAAGAAACGCCTCCTAAAGGTTTAGGGCTGTGCACCCTAACTGCAGTGAAGTGGGAGTGAATGTGCTGGAGCACAGCATGAGGGGTGTGCTGGTGGAACTGCCCTGTTGGCCCTGGCTGCTGTGTGTCGGAGGGCAGGGTGTGCACGTAGATTGACTTGAGGCATTGTTTCTTTATCCCAGCAATCCGAGTTTATATATATAAACATTTATTCCAAATGTATTTTTGTAGTGTACTTTTTTGAAATGAACAGGAAACTGCTACCAAAAAATCACTAATGGACTGGAATTCATTTCTTGTCCACAACCTCGTCTTACTGTAAGATATCTGGCAAGTTAAGGGCACTGTTCTTTGTGTAATGAGTTGTGGCATGGTGGATTTTTAGGTTTTGTTTATCAGTTTATATTAAGATATTAGCTCAGAAACATGTGTAGCAAAGTATCCTTGCTAAGGAATTCCAGTCTAAAATACGGAATGTGAAATCTCAAGTGGGATCATCGCATATTTCCAGCAGTACTTCTGGTGGAGTCCTTGAGCTGCTCCCCAGTCTGCACCGATGGGAACCGAGTTACTGCATCCCTGCTTGCCCTGGGAGAAGCACTTTGCTGGCTGTGCCTTACAATTCTTGCTGCTTTCTCCTAATAGAGATCGTTTGATCTTTTATTCCGCTTTTAGGCACCGAAGTTAAACTGCCTACTCTGTTATCCCACTTCTCTTCCTTTATCCTATTTTAAAAGTAGCCCCTGCATTTGCTCTTTCCAAATAGTGCCCTCTGTGAATTTTCAAAGGCAGAAGTTGTTAAAGAAATTGTTTCAATCAGTCACCTACAGCTGAGCTAATTTCATCTGGCCCAGCCGGCTGGAAAACCCTGATCTTTACAAACACTTCTAACATAATCTTTCCATATTTTGTCTTAGGATTTTGGTTACCTTCCTCTGATATAAATTGCCACTTGAATGCACAAAAGTAAAGGCAGTCCTACTGTAGCCAAAATGAGACTGCAAACACTTCAGCTTTTATGGCATCATCTGTCAAAAGCTTTTCTACTCTGTTGAGCTGTAGACCAACATTTGCCTGTCTTTTTCTTATTACAAATGGACTTGCAGAAACTTTTCTTGCCACCTTGGCTAGCTTTAAGTCATTTTTTACTCCAGTCTCCACTTGTTTCCATCCTCATTATTACATTCTGACCGTGCGTGTGCTTCCTTCTCAGAATCCTTCCCTCAGCTGAACCAGGAGGTGAGCAAGGTGCCCCTTTTCCATAATGGCAGCTCTGCCCTTGCCCAGCAGCTCCTGACGTGTTGTCTCTGAAGCATGTAGCAGTGACCCTGTGACCCTCAGCAGTGACAAGAAGAGGCAGAAAGATGTGACAGAAGAATCTTGATCTTGTTTGTGATCCTTCAATGTAGGTGCTATGCCAGCAGTACGCTCCCTAAAATGGATCTGTATTTTCCTGTGATCTCTGGATGCTTGCAGCAGCAAGGCAAACAGGACGAATTGTCCCAAGAGTATTAAGGTCACACATCTTTAGTTTCCCTCCAGTCCCTGTAAATCACTGCAGCCAACGAGGAGCTCAGGTCTCAGGCAAGGAAGTCCTCATCTTCCATTCTTTGCACTGGAGATCTGTGTTGTGGCTGACAGCTGTTCCATCTCCTTGGCTTCTCCACCTGCTGTATGTGCACTTGTGCTCATCTTCCCACCCTGTTGTCTGTAGCACTCCTTGCCATAGGGCCGTGGACCTGCTTAGCACTTGGTCTCTCCATCATCACATTTGATGCTGGAGAACTCTGGTCTCCTCCTCTGTGCCCACGGGGTGCCAGTGGATGCAGACCCTCTGGCTGCATGTCCCCAGTAGTTGTTTGGCCACCAACACAGCTTTGTGGGACACACAGGGCAGCTGCTCATCCACTGAGGACACATTTCAGGTGGCAGAAATGCACGGATCATGAGTTTGTTTTTTGTTTGTCATGAATTTTACAGGTTGAGCAGACTGGTAATTCCAGACTTGAGAAGTGTTGAGCTGCAGCACCCTGCAGAATGCAAGTAAAACAGGGGCCGAGGCTGAGACTTTCTCTTACAGAGATGGCTCTTTCTCACACACCAAACATTCAGCTCCTTTTGTGTGAGATGTAGCTGTGTAAGGAGACTTCTTGCTCCAGCTGCCATTTGACTCCTGAAGTGGCTTCACAAAGAAGTTGTTAATTAACCTGTGTAGACCTTTACTTCCCCATGTATAAGGGAGCTCTCAGAAGGAGATGCTTCAGAAAGCAGAGCAAAGGGTGGCACTTGGCATAACTAAAGAAAAAAGAAAGAAAATACTTGGAATAAGTATTTCTCATTGATTACAAACGCTGGCAAAACTGGGAGTTACTGAAGGGCGATGGGTGCTTTGGAGGTCCAGAATGAGACACAGTGAGGGATTTCAGCATTTCCTGATGTGATTTACATGTGGCGTCGTGGAGAAAAAACTGACTTTTTGTGAATAAGCTCTGCAAGTCTTCTACAACATTATTGATGCTGTGCCTCTATGATTCTTGGGTTATTTCACTGTAGGTAGGTGCACAAGATAATAGATACAGAAGATAATAGATTTTGTAGAACGAAATGCCTTAAAGGCAATCGGTGTAAAAGGCGAGGAGTTCATATCCATTTTGTCATTACTTTACAGCTCAGTATCTAGCTGTGGCATGGAAGGCAGACATCTCAAAATCTATTGAGAATTCTTTTCAGATCCATATTCAGATCGGTCTCAGCCCCATGTGCTTGCTGTCCTTCGAGGCTGGAGGCTGGGCCAGCTACCTGCAGCCCTGGGCTCCAGGCTGGTTGCATCCTGCTTGGCAGAGTAACACTTCAGCAGGAAAATAATTGCTGCACATATGTTTGGAAATGTCTGGCCATTGTGCACATGTATCTCTTCTGGGTCAGGAGTGCTGCTGGGAATGACTTCCAACGCTCAGTGCAACGGCATCCCCTGAAGCATGGCAGGAGGAGCTGTAGGCACGTGAGCATCTCAGGAGAAGGCGCTTGGGCAGCGTTTCTCTGTGGATTTGGGGTGTTTGGATGTCGGTGATGAAGGCGGCCCTGTGCTGCGGGTGCCTCGCTGGGGCCGCCTCCTCACAGCCGGTGCCTTCGGTCCTGGTTGTGTTCCCATCTGCTCCCGTCCATCTGTCTCTGGGCTTTGTGAGGTCTCTGGGTCAGAAGTGATAGCGTTTACAGCCACTGCTGTGCTTGCTCAGATGGCGCAGGAAAATGAATGTGTATAAACTTCTGCTTCCTGCTCTTCAGAATTGCTGCGGTGGGAGAGCACAAAAATGCCCCCTGCGGGGTGAAGCCTCTTCTCAAAGCAAACATTAAATATAAATGCCTGAATGTGGACTAAATAATTAGAGTACAGTGTGTCTTTTGGCCTTCCCTTGGAAGGAAACAGCTATTAAACTGTAACATTAAGTATGTTGTACTCATGTGGACAGTTTGTTTGGTTTTTGTAGAATAATTTCATTCGCCTCACGTGGCTTAGCCTGCAGATGAACTGAACGCAACTTCTGTGATATTTTAAGGTTGTGACTTAATCAGCAATTGACTTTGGCAAACTAAATATAGACCCAGGAGAGCATGCTGCTGAGCAGGGCTGAGCTGTGGTCAGTGCCAGGCCTGAAGCAATGTCGTGTTTGTGGTTTTCTCAGAGAGCTGCTGGTGCCTCATGCTGCACAGAGCAGCAATGCTGGCAGGTGGGCACCTGTCCAGAGGCAGCTGCTCTTCTCATTTACTGCCCTGTTTTCTGCACGTTGCTCTGTAACACTGATACAACCATGCCACCTTGTGTTAATTTCTGTTTTCTTATGGTCTCAATTTTTTGTCTGTGTGACCAATCAAGAATTTGCTGTGGATGTGTAATACATCTGCAGTCTTCCTGTCCAAGCCTGGTTATGTAACAATAGCAGGTGAAGGGATTCCATTCACTCACTTGATACTTCAAAAATTCTTTTCAAACTTTGTTTATGATGAAGAAACGTAGGTATTGTGTTATGTTCCTATTCAGGCATGGTTAACTGCTTCTGCACTGCCGTAACCTTCCTGCTGAAGGAAAATTATTTTATTTGTATAATGCATTTCCACTGCTGTCCTTAAACGTTACTTTGAGTGGGAAACATTACATGATTATCCTGTACTGAACAGAAAGGTAGCCAGAGCTCATCAGCTGAGATGTAACGAGCTAGCAGAGCTGCACTGAATGACAGAGCACGTGGTGAGGGCTGGGAAGGCTGAGCATCGAAGCCTAAATCCCATTCATGCCTCAGTGCTCCACGGCAACCCCAGGGAATGTAGGAGACCAAGATTATACCTCTTGAGCTACTCTGTGTCTCTCAGTTTGCTGCTTATGGACAATCAGAACAGCACATTGTAAGGAGAAGCCATGACCTGTGCATCCTGCTGGAGGGTAGGACTGCGCTTTCGCTCAGAGGATTTTGTTCTGCTGTATCCCTGCATCCATGGGAGTTCTGGGCACATGGTAATTTTGGCAGAGAAATGATCTGTCGATCTTAGCACTATGGAGTTAGTAGTATTAAGAGTATTCTTTGCATGGATTGTTAAATTTGATAGTGCTTTAACTGAAAGCAATACTACTAATGATGCTATGAACATCCATGAAGCTTTTCAAAAGAAGAAGTGCTAATTAAACCTTTGTTTCTTTTCTACAGTCAGCAGCAGAGTATGTGAAGTCCCGCCTGCCCGAAGTCCTGAAACAACATCTTCAGGACTATGAGAGGGACAAGGAGAACAGTGTGATGTCCTATCAGACCATCCTGGAACAGCAGATTTTATCAATTGATCGAGAAATGCTGGAAAAATTGACTGTATCCTATGATGAAGCAGGTATGTCTTTACTTCTTTCTAAGTCACGTGCTACTGAAAGCAAGTTGCTCACCTCCAGTCTTTGGAGGGATCGTGAAGCCTGTTAAAATGTTTTTGTCAAATGGATGCCGTGCACATTGCTGGATCCTTCTTCACAACTAACTTGTTTCTGAGCTCGCTTGGACCACGTGGTCTGGGTGGTCACTGAGTCTGATTTTAAATGTGTCGTGATGGATGTGGATAGACAAAAACAGGTAACTGGTAAAATGTCAGAGGCATTTTATTAGCACAGTTACATGGCTCTGATGAGCCCTGTTGTGTCGTGATGGTCTGGATTCCTGAGGGTTTGTAATTATAGCTAATACTTTTTACTAGCGTTTAGTTTGAAAGTAGTTAGAAGTGTCCTAGCTTTTGGATCCGTCAGCTTTGGGATCAGTTGTCCTGATGCCAGGTCTCCTTTATGATTACAGAGGAAAAGGAACAGATCCTTTGGATGGTGTTTGCTGATCTTCCAAAATAGCCTCCCATATCTGCTATACACATCATCAGCCTTAGCCCAGCTCTGGAAAAGCAAGCATTGACAAGCTTGTACTGTTTTGTTGTGTCACTTTGTGCTTTCAATGCAGTGCTGAGAAATACTCTGAGCATTTGGATACTCAGCCTCCTGCTCAGATTCCTGCTCACTATCAATGTCTTTGATCTCAAATGCTCCAGCAACTTAAAATGCCATGAGCAGTGCCTGTTCTGCGTACTCGCAGGGCTGTGAGCTTTAGTGACTGGAAGCAATTACAATGCTCTGTTAATTCATCAGCTCCTTTCACACTCAGCCAGTAAATGCACCTCATTCTCTTAAACTGCTTTGATCTCAGAAACTCTGAGCAACTTGCAGTGCCTTTGCAGACTGCACATGTCATGTGCTTAAGGAGCTGTGCGTCATAGGAGTTCTTGAAGGACTGCACAGTTAAACAGGGGCTCAGGGTTTATTTTTCATCACGTATCTCCAGTTTTTAATGATGCTTAAAAAATAAGCTTTTTAAAGTTGTCGCCTTCTGTTGCTTCTGCTTATATTTTAACGAGGATTTACCAGTCCAATGAACAGTGTAGATCCCTTGCTGTCACGCTGATTTGGTCACTTCATCTCTCCAGTCATTTTGATTGATTGAAGTTTGTTAGGAAGGAAAAAAACAGTGGAGAAAATTACCAACCTCTGTCAGGAGAAAAAGATAGCATTTTCCTGTATTGAAAACTGCACGTTTGTACAGAGAAAATAAAGACTAAACTGCTCCAAACACACACTTGGAGATTGATGTCATACAATAAAGCAATCATGCAGAAATGCAAAGCTGTGTAAATAAGCGTTGTAGTAAAGTCTCAGCAATCAAAACTGGGAGAGGATGCAACTTGCTGTAAATTAAAAGCTAGAACTTGAGGCTGCTAATCAGCTAGAGATACCTCTAGAGGTTAAAGCACCAAGGTGGTGGTGGTGGTAAGCCTGATCATGTCACTTGTTCACTAAAAACATGTAACTGGTGCTACCTGCTCCTGAAGGAAGATCTGACTGTGATCTGAGCACAGAGAATCTGCTGCTCGAGCCACTGCAGCAGATGTTTGTGATTTCAAGCTCTGCAGTATTCAGACTGTTCAGTCTCAGAGCAGTTGTGCTGGTGATGTATTTTAGTAATGTTTTGCCATATCCAAGTCAGTTTAATGAGAAGATGAAGCTGCTGGCAGTAAATACAAAAAGTGGAAAGCAGTCTTTAAAATCAAAATAGTGAAATACCTGTGATTGTTGTGTGGGACAAACACAGTTTTGTCTGACAGAAGCTGGTGTGAGCCATCAACAAAACCCATCCTGGGCTCCAGGCAGTGTTGCTGGCCGGGATGCTTGCCTTGGCACCCAGAGCCCTGGTTGGGTTTTGCTTCAGCCATTTCCAAACTGATTCTGAAGTCCTCTCTTCTCAGGAGAGCATTTTTCCCCTTCTTTTCTTCCATCAGTGAGTTCTTTCAAGGAAAATTGGTGCATATTGTACTTAAATGCTGTACTTATAGGTGCGCTACAGAGAAAAGCACTTGTCAAAATGGATCTAAGCTAATTTTTCTGGTTAGGTATCTTAACTCCATCATTTTGTAGGCTGCAAATGCTTTGTGTGTGTGTGCAGAATTCTGCTACATCCATCTGCTGGATTAAAACAGTACGACTGTGCATGTTGATTTGGCCTTTGTAGCAGAGCATGCAAATATTAATCAAGTGGAGCTTCGATGGACTCAGTGTTCTAATGCCCCTTTTTGTAAACCTTCCCTGTTAGGAAATCATTAGATTTGAAACTACCAAATAAAGTGAGTTCATCTAAAAATAGGCAGCTGCTGACAGGATTCTTAGTGAAGTTTGACTGAGAAAGATTTGTAAATGAAAGCAGGCCAAATGTGACAGATGGATACAAATCCTCTCGTAATCTTTAAATCCCTTCGTTTAAAAAGTGGCAATCTTGAGTAGCCATGGCTGGGTTAATTTTGTGCAAGAATATTTTCTCTGCTGAAGCTTTACTGGATGCTGATCCTATTCCTTCCATTTACAGCACCTTAATGCTTGGGCTGGTCAGTGATGCCTCTGCACAGATGGATGTTTGGGATCCTGAAAGGCGCTTTGGCACTGAACTTGTGAGTGCTGGTTAGCTGCAGCCTGCAGGAGGCTCTCCTGACATTTTCATACTCACAGGTTTCTCCTTAATGGATAGCCCCTCTCTGCCAAAGTCCTGTAGAAATTGAGTTTCATTACTGAGTGACAAAAGAGATGAATTTCATTTTTCCCTGCCGTGAAGCTGTGGTGAGAGATATTGATTGCGGCCAGTCAGCTCCAAAAATGCTTCCTTAGCCACTGGTTATCAGAGCGTCCCATGTTTCCACGCAAAGCAGGTGGCTGCTGCTCAGCACATCCTCCCCAAGGGGACCCAGAGCTCATCCCTGCACTGCCAGTATCCAAGGGCTGTGCTGTGCTTCACCCTGTGCTGGGGCACCACATCCCCACTGGTTCTGTGGCTTAGGTATGCCCGGAGGAGATGGAGCACGGCGCTGCTGCGGGGCTGGGGCTGATGCAGGGCTCAGGAGGGAACCACAGAGGGCAGGAGGAGCCCACCGAAGGGAGCCCATGCTGGCACACAGGGCTGTCACAGCCTTTTTGGTCATGGGGAGCTTAGGTTTCAGTACTTCAGTCCCATTTTCCTCCTCCAACCCACTTTCAGTGCCTCTGAGTAAGTGAAATTGCTCGTAACAGCGGTTTATTTTCTTAAAGTGTATTTTTATGCTAGCAAATCACGTCCCAAATTGCCTGAATGCTCCAATCTTAGCAACAAAATTTATTTGCTGCTGAGATAATCTGTCCATTAGCACTATGACACACGGCAGTCTGTCTCTGGGTGAGATGAGGTTTGTGCTCTGCCTCCACCAAACATGCCCACGTGTTGCGTTCCGCTAAGAATCACGCAGTGTATCGCTGTCTTCTCCTCCATCCCTGCAGGATTTAGCAGGTAATGAATTGATAATGAATGAAATGGACTCCTCTTACTCAGCCTGTATTTCTGTGCCTCACAGAACATCATTTTTTTTCTGTAGCTGCAGCTGTGAGAAGCTGTTCTGAGCATGAATGCAGGATTCAGGCTTTGGGATTTGCTTCAGGACTGCAGCCTGGTGCTGTAGTGAGCTATATGTCCTATGCAGGGATAATAAATACCCTGTTGGAGAAAATCCTTTCTTCCCACTGAAAAAACAGCTTTATCAGGTAATGCCATCATTATTGTACATCACAGCACAACTGAAGGAAGTTAACTCCTTTCCCCTCACCTCACCATGCACAGCCATAACAGCCTGCGGTGCCACACAGCTGTGCCACACATGAAATGACCCGAGCTTCAGAAAGGACTGAGCATCTTGGTGGAGTGTGCAGCACTTCAGGAGGGATTTAAGAGCAGGGAGGAAATAGACACACTAAATACAATAAACACAACCATTGCAAAGGCATTGGATTGCACAGAATGTCCAAGAACAAAAAGGAGAGAGCAGTAAAGAAGAGAAATGCCAGACACAACGCCTTTCCTGAAGAAAGGGCATGTGCAGGCAAAGGATGGCTGTGTGAATGGCATTTCCATTATCTCAAGAAATGGAACGGGACAGGGTTTCTGTGTGTTGTTGTCAGCACCATTTGCCAGCATTGTAGCAATGTAGTGAATTTATTTTCCCATTTGTGGCAAACACATTGACACAGCAGATGTGTGACTAACATTGCTCTGTCTGTCAGGGTAACAGTTACTGCTGCGCTTCCTTCTGATGGAGGCTGAAGCTCTGTGGCCGGGAGTCCACTGCTGTTTCTCTGCTGTTTGCTTTCTCTCAGGCTCAGGTTTCATTTTGCAATGATTTTTAGATATTTAATCTCAAGAACATGATCTAAACCAACAACTTTCTTTCAATCTCAGTGTAAATTCAGCATGAGCCTTTTCCAAATAATACAGTAAGAACAATTTTTACCCTTTATACCTAGATGATTACTTCTGTATAATCTCTGCTTCATGCTCAATGTTTTCCTTGGCACATTTAATTTTTTTCACTCATTAAAACTGCACGTTGATCCTGGTCTCCATGAATCAGAGCTCTGTTACTCAGCAGAGGACCAATAACCCTGGCAAAAGCCACAGGGCCATCACCTCGAGTGGGATTTCTCCCTTGTAGCTGTTCATATTTGCATTAGAGACATCAAATTCTGGGCCACTTTTCTAAAGCTCTTCAATAGTGAGCAGGGAGAAACTGGGGGTTCTGGGGCATTCATGCCTTTGTTTTAAGCAAGTAAGTGAAGAGATCTTAAACATGCCCCCTCTTTTCCATGGACTGTGAATTAGCTTTTACTCACAGGTGCATACAGGTAGACAGCTCCAGCTGGGAGCCTAAACATCTCTGTAAGCACACCCATGAAAGACATTACATTTCGGTGTACGCTCCAGCAGAAGCTGTGTGACTGTCATTTCCTACACACG